CCCCAAAACCCCAAAACCCCAAAACCCCAAAACCCCTTATGATTTGAACTAATTTGAAATAAAATTATAATTAAAATAATTTCAAAATGTCTTCTATGGCCAGAGTAATCAGCGAAGGATCTCAAATCGTTGATTACTTCGAAGAAGAGAGAGAAAGTATCGAGAGACAGAGAATCAAGCTACTTGCAAAAGAACCTATAGATCCTGAGATTTTCAAGGAAGGGCTTTACTGACTTGGAAAGACTACTAATAATGTTTCATACGCCTACCTTGCAATGAATATTTCAGAGAAAGATTTGAGCAGCATTGTAGGAATTGAAAGCTATATCTACATCCAAACTTTAAATATTTCAAATAACAACTTGATTCATCTGAAGGCCCTCTCATCTCTTAAGCATCTTATCAGACTTGACGCTTGCAATAATAGTATTAGGAGGATGTTTGATTTTGATCCTCCAGCTAATTTGGAATCTGTAAACTACTCAAACAACTGCATTGATGAAATGGATAACTGTGAGAAACATAAATACCTCAGAACTTTGATTCTTGACAACAATAATATATCTGAAATCAAAGGTCTTACTCAGAATAAGTACTTAAGAATGTTAAGCTTAAACAACAACAATATTGATATTATCGAGAATCTTGCAGGTCTCAGTATTGATGAACTCTTTCTTGCAGACAACAACATTAAGGTGATCAACGGGTTGGATGAGCTGCCTCTTCTTAGAAGACTTGACCTCTCAAAGAACAATATTAACAAACTTAGAGGACTTGAAGAGATATATAGACTGAAGTTTTTGTTCCTTTGTCATAATAACATTTCAAAAATCTCAGAGCTGTCCATGATCGAGAACCTCCAAGAGTTGACCGAACTGGATCTTTGCTTTAACCCTCTCCAGAATAGAAAATACTACAGACTTCAAGTTTTGTTCAGAATTCCTCAACTAAGAGATCTTGATGGAAGTGATGTCACTTGTGAAGAGAAGATCAAGGCAGAGAACCTTCATGGGCTAGATCTAAACGATAGAGAGACAATCTTCAAGTCAATTCTTCCAGAAGAGAAATTTGAAGATAGAAGGATCAATAAGATCGAAGATATCGAGCCTGAATCAGAAAGTGATCCTGAAGAGGTTGAATTTATTGAGACTTATGAAGATAAGAAATCACAGATAAGTCAAGTAGAGATGTCTAGTGTGGCTTCAAGAACACTTAATGAGATAGTTAGCAAGCGAGAATCTTTACAGAGTATGGGATCAAGAATGTCAACACAAAGAGCTCATCTTAGATCTAATGGTGGTGTGAGCAATGACCCAATGGCTGCAAGTCTCAGCAACTTCACAAAGAATTATGTTGGAGAATTGCTTGACAAAGCCTCTTTCCAAGGAGGTTATGGAGAAATTTAGAATACCAATTCAATAAGATAATCAATAAATGGGGTTTTGGGGTTTTGGGGTTTTGGGGTTTTGGGG